AAAATCCAATAACTCTTTTACTTCAACTTGGAATCCAATAAGCAGTATATGAAAAGTGTAGCCGCAAAAGTGTTCTCTCTAGTCGCAGTTGCTGATCCTCAATTGTTGTCTGTACGCATGCGTTATGCCAAAAAGAGTGACAGTAGGTCCAAAACTAATACCTTAACTTTGAGCGCCTATAATTTCTTCATAAAAACCCCAAATGATACAAAACTTATACCAAAACTATAGAAAAAAATCTAAAACTTTTGACCCTAGCATTCAAAACTCGAATGGCTTCGATAAACTAACCCTAATCCCTAATATGGCCTCGGGCAGCCTCCTCAAAGTCCATTGGTCATGATTTTTGACCAATAGGAATGGAGATTTTTATTATTCATCTCCATTCATCTATATTGGTGCCCTAATTACTCTCTTTGCTACCAAAACCCTTCTTCAATCCTTTCTCTTATAAGATTTACATAATTTATGCTCTAAATACTAAATAAAAGAACCAAAAGAAGTTTTCAAAGGTCACCAATGTCTAATAAAGGTAACTCTAAATATTTAGAAGTTACTATCAACCAAAATCAATCTTAAAAGCCACTATCAAAAAAAAAATTAAAGTTATAAAAATTCTATAGTAGTCTTTTTAAACAACCTCTTCTCAGGATAATAACTAAATTATAATCTACAACCAACTAAAATCTATTAACATAGCTCTTACCATGTTACTTAATAAATCATATATTAAATATATAATTACATTATTTTTATATAATAGCTGAATCACAATATGACAACGGATTGTCTAAAGTTATTCTATTTGATAAGAAAACATTATTTATATTAATATTTTAGAAAATTATTTTTAAAATTTTTAGGATGTATATAAAGCTTTCTTTGGCTTTTTATCCTCAAACTGATAGATAAACAGAATGGATGAATCAGGTTTTAGAGCAATACTTGAAATGTACCAATAATTGTTATCAAAATGATTTGACAACTCTTTTATTATAGGCAAAGTTTGTATACAATAATTTGGTACATTCTTTCATTCAACAAATACCTTTTTTGCCAATTATAGTTATCATCTATGACTTCATACTTTTGATTTTTTAAAAGTTGATAATCTTGTAATAAAAGATTTGACAAATCATTAGTCAAATCTATATGCAACAATGAAGGTGCAGTTAAAGAGAGCTCAAGAATGACAAAAGATTAATATTGATGTATATTGCAAAGAACAATTACAATTCAATGTAGGTAATAAAGTATGGTTAGTTCGTCGTAATATCAAGACTATTTGTCTTTGTAACAAATTGAACTATAATAGGCTTGAACTTTTTCTTGTTAGTGAATAAGTCAATTATATAGCTTATTGATTACATGTACTAGTGTCATATTGTAATTGCTTATAATATGTAAAAATTTATTAAAATATATATTATGTTTGTAAGTCTTGATGTGGATTCGAGTAACTAGTAAGTAAATTTAAAGAAAGTTGATATAAAAAAAATTATTTAGAGATTTATCTATTTTTATTGTGGTATTTATATTATATAAATATAAATATTTAGTATAAAGCTTATGAGAAGGTTGGAATTTAAAGATGAAAGTCTAAACTATTAAGAGGTTTATTGAGAAGGATGAAAAAAAGGTATGGTTGGATGAAGGCAAAGGGTGAAGATCTGCATTCCTATTGGTCAAATGTCATACCCAATGGACTTTAAGGAGGCTATCCGAGGCCTTATTTGGGATTAGGATTTTTCTTTCAAGGGCATTTAAGCTTTGGAGGCTAGAATCAACAAGTTTAGGTTTTTGGATATGGTTTGGATATAAATTTTGTTTAATTTGGAGTTTTTTTAAAAGAATTATAAGTACTCAAAATTTAGGTATCAATATCATACCTATTGTCATTCTTTAGGAAAAAACATATGCTTACATAGAGCAACAAAAGATCGAGAACTAATGATGGAGAGAACACTTTTTTGACTACATTTTTTATATATTGTTTGATGAATTTTCAATTTGGATGAAGGAGTTATAAGGAATAAAAGACAACACATGTAATTCAAAGACAATAAGTGAGTTGTTTTATTAATAGTAATGGTTGGAGCCATATCTTAAGTTTTTTAATAAATTATTAGTTCAAAATTTCTATAAATATATGTTATTAGGTTTAAAAGCTATTGATCAAAGTTTCAATATATTTGAATACTTAATTTATGAGATATGAAGAAAATTGCAAGTAGGTATATGTAAACAAGAGTTTGAAGCCACTATTCAAGTTTTGACAATATCTCAAGATTCATAATGAATTTGTAGTTGAAATTTGTTTTAGTAGTTGTTGAAAGTATATCAATACTTTATATAAAATTAAAGTTTTTTTGGACAATCAGAGTATGAGATATAAATTTTTGAAATTTGGAGAAAAATTTCCAAAAAGAATATATAAAGTTTTAAGATATTTTATCATTTCTTTGGATATTTTTTTTTGTATATTTAGGCTTATTTTTTGATATAATTATCCTAAAAGAAAAAAAATCTATATATATATATATTAACTTAGAAATTTAATATCTTAGACTTGATTGAGCATTTATTAGCAATCAGAAGCCTAATACTTGTTTAAGGCAAATTTTCTTTGCTCCAATACCGAAATCTAGTAAGATCTACTCCATATTTCATATTTTTGATCTTAAATCTTATAAATCAATGAATATCTTGGAAAGAACACAAATGCTACCTCTTGCTATAGAAGTAGTTAATAATCAAGAGTTTGAAGTGGAAGAAGTCTTTGATTTAAGGTGGCACCAAAATAGGTTGGAATATCTTGTTCATTAGCATGGATATGATATTAGTGAACACTTATGAGAACCAGCAAAGAATCTTGCAAATTTAGCAAAGAAAATTGAAGCTTTTCATTGACGACATCTATCAAAATCATGAAGAAGAATAACAAATCTTTGCTATAAAAGAAATAAAATCAAAGAAAGATAATACTCTACCTTTTATATTTCTTTGTAGCTTTTGTGTATTTGCAACGCTAAGAAGATGACAAACTAACAACTGACAAATTCAATTGAAGAGCTTTCATTTACAAACGGATAAGACATTGTGATTATCACAACCTTTAAGATGGCATAATCTAGATAAAGATCCTCAAGAACGTCATGTCCTTCCTCAAATAGATGGAAGTAATGAAGGCCTCAACAACAATTAAATAATAGGGTTTTCTTGTCCTAGTATGAAACACTATTGATGGCTGAGAGGACCTATCAATCATCTTTGAAGAGAACAAAGAAAAGAGTATGTAGCAAATACATTTTGTTGCATCTTAGATTTCATCAACACATGATGACCGCTCCTCTTAGAACTTGTCTCTAGAATGGAAGGGATATTGTCACAGACATATATTGATATTCTAATAAATACCTATATAATTAAGTAGAACTAGATTAAATTAAATAAAAATAGATTAATTTCATAATATCTTCTAAAGAAGCTTCATAGATGTTGCTTTGACTTTATATGTGTTTGTAGTTGATTGATAGGTTAGAAACTTAATCAATAAGTTAACCATGTGTTGATAGCTTGTGAAACAAGTTAATTATGTAGCATATATATAGAAAATTTGCCTTCCAAGTTAAGATACTTGTCTTACAAAGTCAACACGTTTTTGGGATCTTATAGGACATTGTCATGTAGCTTCTAATTAAGAATATATATATGGAGGCAAAAGTGAAGCCTTCTTCACTCTTATCAATGCCTTTTTAGTCATTAGTCTTATTTCAAGACTTTCTAGTCTTCTTAGTTTTAGCAATAGCTATTTTGGTTCAATAATATATCATCTTTGAGTGACTTTCTAGTTTTTATCAGTGTCACAAGAGTGTATTGAGGATTTCTTTCTTTGAGATTCATATCCTTGATAGTTTTATACAAAGAGTAGTAGAAAGTAAATTGACTCTTACTTCTAACAACCTTTACTTATAGATAGTAGTTATTGCAATAATAATCAACTTTCATTCTTTGAATTTTACATTGACTTCAAAAATATGTTTTAGCATATTTTTTATATTCTTATGTAATCTTTGAATTGTTTTTAATAAATCTTTTTTCTTAGCTCTTAATCTTGTCTTTTATTTATAGAATGGCTTTTTTACATTCTAAAATCCAATTCTATGACCATTAATAACTTATTTAAAATAATATCTTTAATAAGATAATTTATTATATTTTATTATTACTTACTTTAGCAAAATCAATACCTTGTAAATTTATTTATAACATTTGATTTGCAAAATTGACAAATGAAGTAATTATGTTGTTTCAAGATAGATTATGCTAGATTCAAGACAACTTTGGTTCTTTATAATTGGTAATAACCACTCTAATGTCTTTTTATTTTTATTTTATATATATATATACTTTCTTTCTTTTAATGATACAAGAATATATTGTCTTTTCATAGTTTTGTTTTGATTCAAGTCTTTTTACAAAATCTTGCAAAATTTAAGATATTATATTGTTTTATAAATAATCAAAATTTATTTTCTATTACATAAAAGACATAACTTAAAAAATATAAAAATATATAAAAAAGAAATGAAAGATAGAAAAAAAAATACAATAATTAATTACAGATTGTGTTGACAAAATTAAAGAACACTTTTTATCTTATTTAGTTTTATGCATTTTGATTGAATCTTATTTAAGCTTCTATAGTTGGTATTGGAGTACTATAAAAGATTTTAAAATGTTTCCAATTAAAAGATGTTCGTCTTGGCAGATAGGCTTTTATTACCAGTGCGTGTCTGGGAAGAGGAGGGGAAGGGAGCACGAAGGAGCACACCTTGCCACGGACGTTCAATGCTTCTTTCCGTTCCTTCCCAGTGTTCGTCCGTCAATTCCGTCCGTCCGTCTTCCTTGCTTTTCGTCTCTCTTTCTTTGCACCTCGTTTGTATGTGTGTTTGTTGTTAGGTTTCTGCTGCTGCTTGTCTTGCACGAGGGGGGGGGGGGGGGTGGGGAGGGGGGGGGGGTTATTTGTGTGTTGCCCTCTCGCATCCCTCTCTCCGCACCGCCCCTTTCGCTCCTTCGTTTTTTTAAAATTTCCCTGTTCGTTCCTGGCTCGGGTTTCTTCGACTTCTTCCTCGTCGTCCTTCTGTCCATCGGCTTCACATACAATACTCTTTTCCTTCTTGCGTGTTGCCTTTGTTATAGGGTAAGGCTTTCTTGAATTCGGTGAATTTGGACGCATGTCGCGAGAAATGTAGAGGTAGGCACCACAGTGCAGGCGGTATAACTATGTGCAGCCGATAAAGGAGGCAGGTAATGAAGGAGAGAAAGTATGGTGCGGACTCCGATGGCGTGCACTGTTGCCGGTAATTCGAATACACGCTCCAGATGTGTCACTGAAACGGTTAATGGCTCACACCATTTCACAATCAATGGCTATTCTTTAGCCAAGGGCATGGGAGTAGGGAAGTATATTGCCAGTGAGAGCTTTTCTGTGGGAGGTTACCAGTGGGCAATCTATTTCTATCCGGATGGGAAGAACGCCGAGGACAATTCTCTTTATGTATCAGTTTTTATTGCGTTGGCGAGCGAGGGGACAGATGTGCGGGCGCTTTTTGAGTTGACGCTCTTGGATCAGAGCGGCAAGGGTAAGCATAAGGTGCACAGCCATTTCGATCGTTCTCTCGAGAGCGGCCCGTATACCCTCAAGTATCGGGGCAGCATGTGGGGTTACAAGCGCTTCTTTAGGCGTGCTGTTATGGAGACATCGGATTTCCTGAAGAACGATAGCTTGGCAATTACCTGCACTGTCGGTGTGGTAGTGTCATCCACGCAAGGTCCTAGACTGTACTCTATCCCTGTTCCGGAACCAGACTTAGGGCAGCATTTTGGCGCCCTGTTGGACAGCGGCGAAGGCGCTGATGTGACGTTTGAGGTGGATGGAGAGGTGTACCAGGCCCATAAAATGGTTTTAGCGGCCCGGTCGCCTGTATTTAAAGCTCAATTGTTTGGGCCCATGCGAGATCGCAATAGTGGCAATATCGAAATCGAAGATGTCGAACCCCCTGTAAGTGTTCACACTTACAATTTGGGCTTTTTTTAGTTCTTCAAGTGGTAAGGTGTCTCACATCCACAATTCATGTTTGTTTTAGTCCATGCTTTTGTGTCACATGTAGGTTCGTGGCTTTGTCTCTGTTCGACGCCTAGGTCCTGATAATTGCGGGGCCTTCAAACCTGGCGTAAGTCTTCTGTATATACATTTTTCTGTGCCCTCCACTTGTAGAACTTTCATCCTTAATGTTATCTGGTGGTGGCTTAAGCTTCCTGCAAGATATTATGTTGATTTACAATCTTGTGGCCTACAGCTGGCAATTGCTAATGTACGCGAGAGAATGTTTAGGTTGATTCGAGACATTTTCATCTCATAGTCAATCGGTTTTGAGTTAACAGTACATGTACGAATCGTTCATATCCTTTTAATTACACACACACACACACACACACACACATATATATATATATATATATATATAGCAGAGAGGTAAGTTGCGTTTTCTTCCTTTCCCTTGAATTGAGGAAGTGGTTTTAGAATTCTTTACTTCTACAGTTAAGCAGCTTGGATCTTATTGTGAAGTACTGACTATGATTTGCAGAGTATATTCTAATTGTGTGTATTCTTGCAGGTCTTTAAAGCTCTGCTACATTTCATCTATCGGGATTCTTTACCTGATACGAAAGAGCTTATTCGAGCACCCTCAACATCTATTCTGTTAGCTCAGCACCTTTTAGCTGCAGCGGATAGGTATGGCCTCGATCGACTTAGGCTACTATGCGAGTCCAAGCTGTGCGAGAATGTCAGTGTAGACACAGTGGCGACGACTCTTGCTCTTGCCGAGCAGCACCATGCCGCAGAGTTAAAGGCTGTTTGTTTGAAGTTTGCAGCCTCAAACCTTGCTGCTGTGATGCACTCGGAGGGGTTCGAATACCTCCGGGATAGTTGTCCCACGTTGCAGTCGGAGCTGTTGAAAACAGTAGCTGGTGTTTACGAAGAAGGCGTCGGTACAGGTGTAATTTCCAATCGGAATCGTAGTGTATGGGGTCAAATGTCTGACGGTGCTGATGCCGGCGGTAGGAGGGTTAGACCCAGAACTTAGTGTGCACTCTGGTCAACGATTATACGGGACTACCCTGGTATTCCCTGAGTCCACGATTTACTTCATCTGAAGTGCCATGGGACGAGAGAACTAATCATTCTATGTGGAATGATCTTTGGAACTAGGCGAGGATCTTGAGGGTATCTGTCGGTATGGTCTTTATTTTGTCCTCCTAGTCAGTTGTGAAATTTTATCGCCTGGCACATAGGGAGGTAATGTCTCCTATTCAAGATCAGAAGATACTTTACAATAGGGATTAAGTGAGCAAGTATCTCACATGCATCCGAGTATGGCTCGTTTTTCATATGAACAATTGAGAGTCTCTTTGCACTGTGGACTCAGATTTGGGAGCTAACACCAGGATCTCACACTTCCAAATAACGTTTCCAAGTTATCGTTGTCACACTTGCGTTTTACCCTCCTGAGGTCTCACTTCCGTTGACCGTTTTGCACTCGTCGTTAGAACTCTCTGAGCTGCTTTGAGTCTCCCTTCAATCCAGTGTTTCTTTAATAGGTGTTAAGCGAAGCTTGCTCGCCATCCACAAGAAGCTCCTCCCCACCGCCAATGCCAATGATTGAGTTTCATTGCTACCCTTCATTACGAATAGATGGCAAGGCGAGGGAAGTGAGTAGCAACAGGAATCGGTAGTGGTGGCAATAAGTAGCCGGTTTGGCAGATACTCCTCCTCATGCATGCTCTGTGCGTTGGTCTTTCCGCCCCTGGGCACAAACAAACAAGTGGGTGCCGCACTGGCATTGTTTATTCTTGATTTCCACGCGTTGACGCTCTGTGAGGTAACACCATTCAGAGCTATCGGGATCCCAAATTCATTTTCTGAGCCCACGATCACAATCAAAGCATATCTTCTGACTGTTCTCCTCATTTCATATTTGAATACAACACTTATGGATCACAAACGAGATTGTACAATCGCTTTTTTTTTTTCACTTTTTATTATTTTAGTTTTGCACGGATTTTTAACTCATAAAATACAAAAGAAAGTGACTTCCATTTGGTAATTATTACCTGTAGAACAATAGACTGATAATCTTTAGTTTTTACTATGCAATTTCTAGGTTTTATAGTTTTGTAATTTTGAATCATGTCTATTTTTATTTATTTTAAACAATTTAGTTCTAAGTAAGAATTTTAAAGACTTCAAATTCACCGTTCTGTGTACAATTTTTTATTTTTGTTTTTATTATTTTTTTAAAACACATATTAATTTATAAGATGATTAATAATGGTACATCTAACATAATATTATCTTTTTAATACTTTGATCAAATTATAAACACTAGTTCTAAAACATAATGATTATTCACTATTTTTATTTATTTATTATTCTTCATTTTTTATGAACATGATATTGATATTATCACAATATTATTCATGTTGCCTCTTTATATTCAAATAATAAACAAATTTTATTAGATTCTCTTGGTTCGAATTTTCAAATTTTTCATTTTGTAACAAATATATATGGTTTTAAAATCACTTTTTGAGACTGATGTCAGTACAAAAGCATATAAACTGTCATCACGAAAGTTTTGAAAAGTTCACAAACTGAAATTATAACATAGGAATTCAGAATTTTATCTACTTTATATTAAATACAAAACACAGCCAGAAATCTAATTTTTATTACTAGTACTTTTTTATATTAATTTAAAATAATACATGTAAAAAAAGAAGTTAAAAAAAAATTAAAAATAGTATTTTTGGTATTTTCAAAAAGTTACTAATGACTCTCCAAAAGATTTCAAGTGGATTTCTTTTTATTTTCTTTATTTTTTTTCAATTTTGATTAGCTCTTAAATAGACTTCAAGAATATATGGTGGTTTGGCCGAAATGTTTTTGCATGTTTTTGCGTCTATTAGATGGTTTAGAATTCACAAGAATGTTTTAAGCTTAAATTGGTGATTTCTTCAATTTAGATTGAGTTTACATTAAAATGTAAACACGATTCTATTCTTAATATTCTAACTCATCCTATTTTTTAAAAAATAAAATAAAAATATTGATCTAGTAAGATTATATCAGACTTTGAAATTCTTAATTTTAATAAAATTTAGGCATGTTTTTTTAATAAGTGATAAACTGATTTGGTGTGTTAAAATAAAACAATTTGAAAAAAAAAAAAAAAGAAAAAAGAAAAAAGAAAAAAGAAAAAAGCACAAAAAAAGCACAAATATATATATATATATATATATATACAAAACACAAAACACAAAAACTCAAAAAATTTGTGAACTCAAAATATGATTAAAACTTAAAGTTGGATTTTATTTATTTATTTTTATAAATTATAAAATTTTATATGTTCATCTTATATCAATATAGCGCTTAACAATATATAGTTTAAATAAAAAATTATTTGGATAATTTACTTAAAATTTAATTTAATTTCTTAATTATGCTATGGTTCTGCTAATAATTTAAAGTATTATGAGTTTTAAAGTATTTATTTTCTAATTGTAAATATATATGCATTCTGTAGCTATTAGTATTGAAATTTGATTAATATCAATCATAAGAGCAAGTCCATAAAATAAAATCCAATAAAAAAGTTGCCACTTGGTTATTGCTCCATATCGTTCAAAGATGCACAAACTAAAGGCATCTAGCTTGATGTGGAAACTGTCAAATTATAGAATAGGATATAAGTAAAACAACTTTAAAAACTTACAATTAGAACATAAATTTAAAATCTAGGAACTAATAACAAGGATATGTACTGTAGGAATAAACTATTACTGTCTTAGAAAATATATTACTATACTTTTAAAATAGACTAATAAAAAATTATAAAAAAATTAAATACACATATTTATTATATTTAATAAATATTAGAATCTGAAAACTAAATAAAATTTGTCAAATATTAGAATCTGTTAAGTTTATAAATTTTAATAAAATTCTTAATCTTTAATAAATGCATAATTGATTAACTATGTGTTGATTTTCCAAGAATCTTTCAAAGCCAAACACTCTAATGCAAAGACATATAAACATATTGTGTAATTCTTTAAAAAAATTAAACAATTCAATTTTTTAAGTTTCTTTAACAATTTCAAAAATATGGTTTCTAAATAACATCAATAATTCTTATAGTACTTTTACTTTTTCCAAAATCTACTCAATACTTATGTTATACTATTAATTTTTTTTAAATGATAGCAGAATGTTGTCTGAGTAAATAATCTACGGAGTAAAACTAAACACTATAATCTAGTTCATTGACAAAGTGATACTAAAATACTTATTTTCTTAATATTTGTAAATTTTTAACTTAATTGAAACTAAAAATCTAGTTTATAAAAAATATTTAATACCCTTATTAATTAAGTTTTGTATGTAAATGTATACACATGTGTGTATGTTATACATTAAAAATATAATATAACTTATAATGTAAAATACTATAATCTATACATGCATACTTCTATATAATGGTATTTTGTTTATACTGAAAACACCTTATGTTCCTTATATTGTTCGAAGTTTTCTATATTAATTCTTGTTTTTGCAAGCTCAAATCAAAATTAAAAAATAATCACATTATATGAAACTAAATTTATTATTTATTTGTTTATAACAGAAAAGATACAATCAAGATATAAAAGTTCATTAGCTGTTCATGTTTTTATGTTTTTATTTCTATTTTTTAAACAAGCACAATAAAATAAAAGAAGTTTTAAAAATCTATGAATATGTGAATAATAAATTTCCAATATTTTTCTAATAATCTTGATTATAATTAAAATGCAATAAAAAATAAAGTATATTCTAAAAAAAACTTGTGTATTCATATATATATATATATATATATAAATCCTTGAAGATTGGTTATGTGTGCTAGAAATTTAGATTGCAAAACATTTCATGTTTATTACAAGTAACGTAAAATTGGTAAAGGTCTTGTATATAATATAATATTATCTTTATTTTTCTATTACTAATGTTTTTAATTTTTTTCACATTATTTTGGAAAATAAGAAGTAATATTTCTATTTCGTAAAACATAATACAAATCATTCAATTTGAGAATTTGCTTTTGTAATATATATATCTCTTTTGTCTTAAAAATAAAATTTAAGTTTGGAAATCATCTTTTTTTTTTTATTATTCATAAAATTTTTATTTATTTAAACTAGAAGTTTCTATAATGACAAAACATAGATCTTTCATTATCTACTTTTCTTTTTTAAAGATTATAAATCTTGTATAATAAAACAAAACAAAAGAAAAACCAACCTTACCAATTGTAATTGTTGATTTAACATCTTTATTGAGAAAAATTCATTGTCTATGGTAAAACAAAGATCGCAAATATTACCAATCAAGTTCATTATTCAACAAAATTATTATCCAAACTTAAATTTATTTTACTTCTTGTTGCATTGACCATCGAAATTAAATTATAAATTTTATAATACATTAACAAAACAAATTTATTAAATAACTTCTGACAGTTAGAAAATTAAATTATAAGATTTGTTAGATACAAAAGATAAAACTTCAAAATAGAATTCTTTGTACATAAAAAAAATAATAATAAAAAATAAATACTCTATATAAAAGAAATCAGGTAGAAATGGTAGAACTAAGGAAACAATTAAAAGAGTTTCCATGGATTAACTACATTATACTAAGTAACGTTCTATTTAAAGCTCTTTTTTAAGTAGAAAGAAAAAAAAAATTGAAATTCCAAAACTAATATTTATTTAAAAAAAAACTTTTATAAACTTCAAATTAATTATTTAATCGTTTTTTAGAATTTTTTTTTTTAGTTTTTCAATAAATTAACATAAAAAATGACATATATCCAAGAAAATATTTTATGAAGTTGAAGAAAAATAATTTATGAAGCGATACAAAAAACCTAAATTCTAAAGTTGTATCTTAAGAAAAGAAGTTATAAAATTAAATTTCAAAGATCTTAATTATTTAAGTATTTATAAATCTCATATATATAAAATAAAGTAAAATTTTCTATAATATTTTAAAATAATAAAGAAAAATAATTAATAAGATAAATATATTTATATGGTTAATATAATATTTTAAATTAATATTAATAAAAATAATGAAAGATAAAATAAGAAAGCTTTGCAATGTTAAAATACTGTTTTGGTCTTGTCAAAAAACTTTAAGTATCTATTTATATAAAAACACATACACATGATAGCAAATTGTCTTAGGTCTTTGAGACATTAATATAGCAAGAATATTATTGAGCTTTTTTGCGGAATATACAGATTACTTTATTATTAGTCCACAATCTGTGAAATATCATTATTTTAAATGGATTATATTAGTGGAGACAACATATGTAATATAAGCTGTATGAAGCAAAAAAATTAGAAATAAATTTCCAAATATTAAAAGTTTTTATTACAAAGAAATATCAGAATATAATATTTAGAAGATAAGGATAGAAGAAATTATTTTTTATTCAACTCAAATTACAAAGTGTTTTTGCTTTAGAATTGTTTCTGATTAATGGTGTGATTAAGAAATATAAGGAATAAAAAGAACAAAAATAATAATGAAAAATAAATATTATTAGAATAAGATATATTTAATTTTATAGAGTTTTAGTTACTAAATGATATAAAATAAAATATTAATACTATATTTGTGTTGATAGCTCTTTTATTCTCACTAATAATATTAAAAAATATAAATCAGAATTTTTAGAATGAAGTTATGGAAAATCAAAAAATTGAAAAAAAAATGGAATACAGTGTATTAATCAAAATTTGCCTCAAAGATTACTTGATTATGTAATTAAGGCCTTGAACCTCATAAAGACTCAAAAGTCATATTCAAAGTATCCTCTGTAGGTTTCAAAGACTTACTCTTCTCCTTCTACTTCAATTGTGCAACAATCTGTATATCTTGATTGTATCAATCTATAAAAATGTGTCCAAATCAATATAATGCTGTAAGTAAAAAATAAACAAAAGCTACTAATTTCCTATTAGTTTACTATGGGTGTTGTTTGATTTTTGTTGCTACTAGATAAAAAAATATAAAAAATATAAAAATAACAATTCAATTCTAGTCAACTTATAAAGAATTATAATAATTTTATATTTAAAAATAGATTTAATACTTGTATATTATACGAAAGGATGTATGAATATCAGTTGTGCCATGTGCATCATCTTGCTACAAATCATACAAGAAATTATGAAGTTGTTATGTAGTTTTTAAAATAAATCAATGAATAAAATCAATAAATAAATAAAATTACTCAATAGCATCTAAGTTTTTAAAAGTATGAGATATGTAAACAAAGTCATAAAAATATGTTTAGACAAAATTTATTAATATTACAAAGCAAAATAAATGAGTTATAAATAATTGTATTAAATATTTTATAATAATTACAATTGTTTGAGAGGTGTTTGGAAGAAATCAATAGTAGGATACTTGAAATGAAACATGCTCAGAAATAAATTTCACCATTTAGATTTTTAATGGTGATTTGAAGAATAAGTTAAAAAAAAAAAAAAAAAAAAAAAAAAAAAAAAGATTCATAGTATTTAGTAAAAGAGATTAACGAATTAAATTAGATCTTTTGATGCATAATTATATTGCTGCATCTTAAAAGATAGGAGAAGTTTTTAAACAAAGAAAGTCTTAAATATGGATTTAAGAACCTAAAATCATTTGTATAGTGATAAATAGAAATCACAAGTCAAGTTGACATACATGGTCTTTTAAGATAAAAGTTGTAAAGAAACCAAAAGAGAACAAAAATATTTGTAATTTAGAATAAAAATTTCATTAAAACATAAGGTAAAAAAGAATCTTAGAAAGGAAGAAAAGCACAATACCAAATACTCTTTTAAAGAAAAAATAAATCTTTAAGGATGAAATTACACGTTTGTCTACTGCTTCTTCATATATATATATATATCATAAAAAAATATTAAAAGAATATTTACAAAAGGAAGACAAAGTTTTGAAAAATAGAGAAAATGAAAAGAAATGTTGCTAATTTTGAAGTGAGAGAGGACATAACAACTTTCATTGTTAGCAAGTAATCGTCCCTTCTGGATTGGAGCCATAGTGGATCAAGAGGACCCAGCAGCTCCACACCACAAGCATAAGAGAAAGAAGAAGACAAAAGAAGAAGTGGCTTGAATTGCCACACAAACATGTTTGTATATCAACTTTGAAGTACATTTTGTGAGACAGACATATCTGCTTCATATCCACATATCATGTTGTGTATGTTCAAAATTGAAGTTCTCTCATGTTTGATAAATATTTCAATTAAGGACATGTTTACACTTAGTGTTGTATGTAAACAATCAACTGTGTGTTATGTTTTTATTAACTACATACTTTTAATTTAATGTTTGAACTTCTACATTTTTGAACTACACTTATCAGGTAAGATTTTATTTATTTATAACATTCTGTTATTCCAGATTCTAAAGTACAATATTTATATATTTTAAGGATCTTAAGAAGTGGGTGGAATTAATTATTTTCTGATAATGATACAATGTCATTCAATTGGTTTTTATCATTACATGTGATAACATATAATTTGTATAACATTATCATTAACTTTTAGTGAAAGAAAAATATACATTATATTCATGGTAATCTGTTTTAACAGTTGGTATATTTTTAACAAGATTTTAAGTAACCATTCTAGCATTTTAATTTTAGTTTTTATGATGTTTTGTTTTTTTGATTTGTAGTTGCTTTTTAATAATAGTAATAATAATCATTATTAGTGTGGTTATTTCTTGATCTTCTTTTCACATTACAATTCTTGGTTTAAAATTAAAGATTAGCATTGATTTGAAATTTATTGACATAAAATCAATAATTTCTTTTTTTATCATGTAAAAAAAGTTCTTTAACTTAATATCGATTTTTTTCTCAGTAATTTTTTTTGTACTTATATGCAATTCCACTTCAGTATATGTGCAAATCCGAGTTTGTAGATTCAAACCTATAACAAAGTATTTTACATGTTGATACTATTTTTGATAGGTAGATTTAAATTAGGGTTGGTTTCATGTGCAAAGATTGTTTTATAAATTTTTTTTAATGTAATTTCTTGAGTTCAAAAACGAACATTCAAAAACAAAAACTTGTATTATGGACGTAGCCGTTGAAAATTTCTATGACTTTGGATGTGATTTCTACTTTTTGTGATCCTTTTGTATACCTGTGTTTGCTACATTTGTTACAGTGATTCAAAATGCATTCTTGACACAAAATATAAATAAACAAATAAATAAATAACTGAAAAAGCGAATTTTCTTTTTAATTCTTGTAAATTAATATTATGAAGTGATTATAAGAAAGAATATTGATTTGTTTTACATTCCTTTAAAAAAATTCTTGTCAATGTAACTTGTGTTGGTTTATGGAAATCATGCAAATGTTTTCTCTTTGATAGAATATCCTATTATTTATTATTAATGCTATTCCAATTAGAACATGCTTTTATTGACTGCAAAACTTGGCATCCTACTAGTGTCTACAGCGGCCTCTTATATCAAAGGATTTGTGCAAGAGTATTGTAAGAAATGAGAATGAGAAGGAGAAATGAGGAGGAGGAGGAGGAGGCTCTGTCCGGCTCTGCTCTCTGCTCTCTTTCTCTGCTGTTTTCTGTTGTTCCCTTCCTGGTCTTTGCTTTTTGCTCTTAGTTTTGCTTTGCCCTTCTCGTCACTTTTCTCTGGGCTGGGCTGGGCTTAGAATGATGACGATGATGATGATGTTGTTGTTCGCTGGCTGGGTCTATCAGAGCTTCCGTGGCAATCCAATTCTCCCCCACAATCTCTGCTTCCCTCGCATCGTCGAAGCTTCATCTCTGTTGCGTAAGTGCTTCTTTCTTTCTTTCTTTCTTTCTACAGTGATCACTTTTGAGTACACTTCGGATGGTGAAAGTCTGTACTCGTTCTCTTTCCCAATCCAGAATCCACAGCAGTGCTGGATACAATGTGCGACACCACCTTTCATTGAAGTTCCTCGCATAATATCCAGACAGAGGTTATTGCTCTTCAATCAGTAAGTACACCAAAACTCAGTAAATATCCTTGATCATTTCTCACCACCATATGTTATGGCTTTATCAACAAGATTAATGATCGAAGTTGAAGGTGATCGACTCTTGCAGCATCATGGCCAAGATTCCCATCTGGTCTTGCCGCAACTAAATCTCTGCTCTTTTTTTCACCTAAGAAAAATCTCCAATTCACGCCGCATTGCCTGTAGGAATGATGAGATTTATATATGGTTGTGAATCCTTATCAACATTATCAAAAAACCACAACCGCTACTATTTAAGAACTAACCGCAAATTTCAGAGGATTTCTCCTGGATACTCTGCGTGCAAGCTGCTAAACACATTTGATGCATTGCAAAGTTTGATGATGGTGACAATGTAGTCTAAACATTACAGTCATGTACATGAAATGCAAACAACCGTCATTGTTGATAGAACCATATCCAGTGGTTCGTCACATCGTGCAAAAGGAAAGTAGTTTAAATCAGCCAACTAATAAAAAATGAGTTACCTCAACATGCTGTCTGTCAGCTTCGTGCTTTGCTTCAAGGATCTGTAATTCAGAGAGTTGGTGATGATTCTTCTCCGGAGTAGGGAGCTTCTCGACCTCCACCTTCTTCACTTTGGGCTTTGGCACAGTGGCTGCAAATTCAAGCGCCTGCTGTCAACGATTAGTGTCAGATACGAAGGCTAGAATACATCGATTGTTGCTTAGGTTGACATTTACAAAGAAAATGTCTTGAAAAATAACAAATTTTGTTCGTCGTAAGGATGAATTAATGCAATATAGAAATCTGTAGGTATTGTCGCAATTTGTCTTCTTAAATGGAGCACGCATATCAGAAGAGGATAGTTAACAGTACAACGTCCACGATTCTCTTTGTATGGGACCTTCTAAACGTAATCTTGTCCTCCTTTCTATGTACTAGACGTGCAGTCCTTGGCATGAATGTGTTCAGAATGTTTGGCTTAATCAAGTTTGACTCGCGAGGAAAGTTTCATTGCGAATAAAAAATAATGGGATTTGACAAACCCTTTGACTGTCAAGCAAGGAAATTTTCCAATGTGCCATATAATGTCGCTCTGGACGCAATGAGGTTGTGCAGTTCATACCTTCTGACGCTTCGATAGTGGTGGTGTCTTGGTCCTCTTCATCACGTTAACCTGCGAATGTCAGTTTCGCCCAAGTCATGGGGAGTATCTTACTTACTAGTGCAATGTACTAAAGAAGCGTGACTAAGATGTACGTGGAGTGAGCATGAAAAGATTCTAAAAGACGATATACATATATTAAATTGATTTCACATGGCACCGATTTGATATTAGTTGCCACGATCGACTGCAACTTGTCACATCTGTACAAGTGAATAGAAGTCAAGTGGGTGATGATTGCCTGAGCTGTGTTACAACTGCGAACGATGCGGCCAAACTCTTTCATTCGCTCCAGCTTTTCTCTCTGAATACACAACAAGAACAAACGTATCTCTCTTTCTTGAACACATCAACTTGTAGCGTAAATTTTTCCTTAATCTCCTTTCATGGACGTAGAATTGGGCAATGTTAACGGGCCTTTACTGTTGTAGAAATTAGGAATGACATCACCTTTTCACCCAATTCCTCGTCTTCCAAATCTGGACCAAGCTTCCCAAGCTGTACACACGCAGCTGATTGTTGCCTTCTGTAGTCATTTAATGTGTACTGCTTGAATTTCCTCTGTAACAGCCAACGGTGATCCTTGTCTTAGTTGACGGATTCTTCGTTGCACAGATTCACAATCCACGAAGATGTCTATTCACTTCCAGAGCTGTTTCCGTTGCTATACTGTACTGGACATTTTGGATGTACGTAAATCTAATTAGAAAGAATTACTTGTCTATGGTGGCTTCGAAAGGCCAGGGCAATATTTGAAGTTGTCTTGCTGCTAGGTTTAGTTGTCTCAACATGATCACCATCCACCATCTTATGCTGGAAGTTGGGATTCTCACAAATCTCTCGTTGCCTTGCTCTTTCAACTGCTGATAAGACTACCTTTTCCCCAACCTTCTCATGATTTTCATCTTTGCAATTTATCCTCTTCAGCAATGGCGTTGGAAAATAGTCATTCTTGCCCTTAAACTGGTTCATACACTCACCGTAATCGCTGAAACTGATGTTGGATTGGAGAGGCAATAGCACCCCAGATCTATTTTCTTGTTTAGGACTATGGTCTGCGGCTTCTCGCTGAATTGGGTGGAATGAGTTGTTCTCATAGATAAAGTGTTGACAATTGAAACTCAAGCATGGAGATCCAGGAGATTTCCCCTGCTTAATGCAAGAACACACCAGCACCGAAGCTCTCTCATCAACGTTGCTTGGCGCAGAGATGGTGCTGCAGGTCTCGTTCGGCATATTAATGCGGTTGCTTTCGATATGTGTGTCTCGTGACAACTTGCAAATGTCCATCCTCGCTGAAACGGGTGCCGATGACATCTTTGCTGATTCAGAGTTAACTGTCGAGTTCTGTTGGTGTTGCCTCTCCTGCTTCTCGATCTTTCCTTCCTCTGGTTTTGATCTTGAAACGACAACATGAAATATTTAGTTTCACATTATCATGGCATAGGAAGTTTCTTGTGTCTGGATATGAACTATGAAAATGACTAATTTTTGCGACAAGGCAGCAGTTTTATTTTGGCCAACATGGAAACTGTTCAGTGGTGGTGTTTGATCACCAAATTCGTTATTAAATAAGTGTCCGAGGTCGGGATTAAGTCTGAGTGGATTGGCAGTGAGCAGCAAGCCGACTAAAGTGAAGCTGTGCGTTCTTCCCCACAATGGTGTACAATCCTATGAGCATGAATTCAGCTTGTGAAACCATTTGTGGTTGAAACAGGTAGCTGAGGACTTTCACCGTTTCAGCGTGAGGAATTTGTACATGCGCTCCAGGAGAGGGCCTGCTCCATCTGGAGTTTGGCATTTGACGATCGTCTCAACTTCATCTTTTAAAATCATGAATGAAATCTTCTGCAGCTCTCGTAACAAGTTTAGGTAGTTAGAATGGTTCAATTTTAAAAATGTAATAAAACACTCCATGAATTCGTTCATCTTTTAGATGCAATCGTGAAAGAATAGGGGGGGATCATTTTGTATGTTCTAAGGCACTCTGTGTTTGCGACCTACCATCATAAAAATATTATTACATAAAAATATTAAGAGGCTTTTTGGGAAACCGGCGGCCCTGCAGGCTATGCCCGCGCCATACAAACTGTGGCGCGAAAGTGTATGAAATGGTCACAAACCTTGAAGAATTTTTGAAGTTGAGCCCAATTGTCCGTTTTTTTCTCATTCTTAGTTCCATAATCGTACGAATGCATCTTAATTTCTCGGGGGAAATAGCGCGAAAAGATTTCCGCCACCAAAAAACCATTTGAGAAATCTCTGCCAATTGAGACCATACAATACATGAGACTGTGTACATCAGTAGGGATCGGGTCCCTGTTGACGAAGATGATAGATCCATTCATATGCTGAAGGTAATCATATCATTAATTAGTTTACCTCAACTCTCTGCTATCGAAAAAGTAAGATGATAGACCCTCATATAATGAGCCAGATATGAAAATTGGGAAACAATGAACAAAGGAACAACTTTTGGGAAAACCCTACAGCCTTCAATGGAAGACCATGTCTATACTGTGGAGCTCTACAATGAGTAGCTTCGTAAACAGTCAAAAATGCAGGAGAGATACTGTCGTCTTCAAAACTCACCACTTATAGTTAAATCTTCAAAATATCCTCGTCTTCAATACTGCGGTTTAAACTGCTGCTTGAAAATGAATCGTCCCCAACAAATGCGACTAATATTCAAGGCCAAGTTAAGGCACATTTTTGATGAAAATGGTAATTGTTGGACACATACCTCTTGATATTTTTGATGGGAAATGAAAGATTGAGAGCCACCAGCCACCGCAGCACATCTCGTCGAACACCAGTGCTGCCACCCATTCTTCTATTCCGCAAGCGTCCGTCGTTATGAAATTTCTTTTCTCTCGGTACTCATCTGGTCCTTGCGGTTATTTCTTCCCTGATCCTCCCTTGCCCGCATGGAAATCTAAGAGTCCCTCTGTAACCACCTTTCGGTCCAAGTGAATTGGAACTTCAACAACCAACTTTGGAGACCTGTCCAGCACCGTCAAATGCACAGCGTTTAACGATTCCAGCCTTCAGACCCACAGAGAAGCTAACCTGCACTCGCACTCATGCACACACACACATTTATATCTATCGTTTTATATATGAAAATGTATTTATGTTTACATTTTTACCTACTCAAATAAGTAAGTGGTATGAAATCTGGGTTGGTTCCGAAAAAACCTGCACGTTGTGGACACCAGTGAAGGCCCAGCAAGTATTATCGGATTAGAGCAAAGCCAAGCACAGCCCGGCTCTCATCTTGGCATTCAACATTCCGCTCCCCTCCCCTCCCCTTGGCCAGCACACCCCCACACCCACAAGGAGTTGATAATTTCATCCAATTAGGGACTCTGCTCTGGTTTGCTTTTTTGTTTTGCTTTTTGTTTGGCAATTTGGAACCAAATCTACTCAAAGGGCAGATAGCTCATGAAAAAGTCCATTGTTAAATTTTGCAAAAAATCCAAGCCTCCTTTAACACTGGCTGGATTTGACCCGTCGGCCTTGTCATTGTGGAGAGAAGCCCTCATCAATTACTCTCACCTCCACACATTCTTTTAAATGTTATCATGGAAGCTTTTGCTGGCACCAAAATAATGAATTTGGTGGCATTACTTATTGATGCAATTTGACGTTGTCATAAGGTAACACGACTACATGGTAAAAAATAAAAATATGGATTTTATTATAAAAGAGCCTAGTAGAAAGATATATTAAAAAAGCAAGGATGAAATGATAGAAAGGTAGTAAAAACTTTTAGTCTAAATGCTGCAATTTTCTAGAAGAGACCTCTACTTACTTTGTAATTAAGCATTTTAATTGTATAGATCAATATCATAGGTTTTTTTTTATAATATATTTTTATTTTCATAGTTTGATTCTTTTATAAGTTGCTTGCAAAATTAATGTTTAGGCTTTTCAAACATAGTCTTTTAATATAAATGGTGTCAATTTTTATATAAAGAATCACATAAGTATGGTGTAAAAACCAAAAATTTAGGATAGAATATAATAGAGCTTAATAGAAGCTAAAGACATCAACTTGTTTATCAAAATTGGTTACAATATGTAAAATGAGCATAATTATAGTAAATAGAATGAATAAAAAATAGAAGAAGTTGAAATCCTATAAAAATACAAAGAACCATAAATTAATAGAACAAGAAATCATCTTGAATTGGAATTTTGTCTTACATCAATCATGTATTGGGCTTCCAATAAAGTTTTGAAATAGTCAAGCTATAAAGGATCAACTTATGGTATTAAATATCAAGTCAAGAGCATGTAGTTATTTCAAGGAATTGTTGAATTTTAATTAACTAGGACAACAAATAAGGAGAGGCATCATACAAATCCTACTTGTCTTTTCATACAAACAATTACTTAGATTATCAATTGATGAGATGGTTCAATATACAAGCTCTACCTAAGTTGGAAAATTATTCATAAAAATTATATTTTAACCAAAAAATAAACTATGTGGAAGTTAAAGGGATTGCCAAAGAAAATTAAGGTTGTTAAAATGACTTGACAAGTGTAAAAATACCCAACTTAACAAGTATAGAAAGATTTGACTTGGTGTTATATTATAATGCAATTATATGGTAAAAGATAAAAATAAGATTTCTATTATAGAAAAGCCTAATTAAAAAATATAATATAAAAATATAACTAATAGATAGAAAGGTAATAAAAAGTTTCAATATTAATATTATCTTTTTATTAAAAAACAAATTCTACTTATTTTGTACAACCATAAATAAAAAAATATAATATAAACTAGAAAAATAAATCATATAAGTATCTTTATGAGAAAATAAAAAGTAGATTTTAGAAAAATTTACCTTAAAAAATTAGTAATCGATATCAACCAAGGTCAAAATCAGACCCTAAGCCACAAAATCCCATATTTATAGCAATTTCAAAGTTCTTTTGCTAATTTAAAATCAATCTTAAAATAGAAACTTTATAAGATTTTTTTAGCATTAATTTTGAGTGATTTGGATTACACTTAAATATCTGAAAACTTCTCAAAGTTAGAGATATTTTTAGTGATTTTGGATTCTAAAAAATAATAAGAAGTTTACATATTTAAGAATTTTTTGAATATTATAGCAAATAGATAGGTAAAATTATTTATATTTTTAAATATTATTATTTTTAATTATATTTTATAAATTTAACATCAATCAAATGGTTAGATTATAAGATGTTAGAATCTTAGATATTTGATATTTTGAGTCAATAAGATTTTTTGTGATCTTGTGCAATCTACTAGTTTGATAAAAGAATTTTTTTTGTAAAAGAATTGTAAACTTGAGTTCCTATAATTTTACTAATTTAAAAAGTAATTGAATAGTTCAACAAAGAGTAATTGTTGTTAGAAAATCAACATCAAGGTTGGAGAAAGAAGACAACCAACATCTAAGAAATTAAGGAGTTTTTTTTTTTTTTTTTTTTTTTTTTCCAATTGGTAAGTTTAAGTTCTCTCAAACTTTGTATGCTTGTTATTTGCTAAAAGATTAAAATGTGTAAAACATTTCAGTCAAGATAAATAATTTAATTAATAATTATTGAGGTTTTTAGATTAAATATTTTATTAGAATTTTTAAGGATTTTTTAGGATTTTTTAAAGATTTACATAGAATATTTATAAGATTTAATTAAAAATTAATTTTTATTTTTTATGTAGATTTTTTCTATAAATTCTTTAGGTTTTTAAAATATTTATTTAAGGTTTATTTATGATTTATTTATAATAATTTAAAAAATTCTTTAAGATTTTTTTATGACTTTTTTTAGAATTTTTTAAAGATTTTTTTAGAACTAATTAAAGATTGGATATGATTTTTAAGGCTAGAAGGACTTTGTTTAAAGTTCTATTAGAACTATTAGGACTTTGTTGTTGTAATTTCTAATTTATCTTCCACAACTAAGTATCCAATGTATTTCCAAGCAAGACAACACATTATACAACACAAATCAATTGCAAAAATAAATTAGCTATAATTTTGAAGTTAATATAGTTAAAATATTAATATTTTTTAGAAATAAGTATAGTTTTAATTAGTAATTATGGTAGTAAAATAGTAAAGATAGAAATATATAGTTGTTATTGATTCTAATTATCAACATAGACGTTTGTGTGGCCAAGTTTAGAATTATATGATTATAGAAGTTAGTATCTTCAACTTTAATAATGTTAAATTTTAAAGATTTATTGTATTGTGACCTTAGTGACTAATATGTGGGCTTTTAAAAACATAGTGTCATGGTCATAGTACTCAATATAATGTTTCTTTTACCTTTCACTTATTAGTTTTTTTTTTTTTTTTTTTTTTTTTTTTTTTTTGAAACTTAATTGGATTGAATTGAGTGATATTTTGTTGAAAAGTAAAAGATGTAACTTTAGACTTACTTTTGGATCTTGTGTGTATTAATGAGACGAGAGTGCATTGCATGGTATATCTAAAATAGAAGTTTTGGTGGCTCTTCATTAAGTAGTTTAGGATTTAGAATATAAAAAAATAAGAATCTTAGAGCTAGAATAAGGAGTCAAGTTAATGTGTTACTGTCAAGTAGTTATGGTGCCATTATAAAGAATTACAATTGTTGTAACAAGAATCTTTGTCCAAATGCTCTAAATTAATATTAAGTGATTAATATTAATATTAAGTGATTAATATTAATATTAAGTGATTAATATTAATATTAAGTGATTAATATTAATATTTGAGATTAATATTAATAATTAAGGCTTAGAACTACATTGTAATAAAGACAACATAACCTAGTATTATTATGGCATTATATTGTGCTATCATTGTAGTACTAAAAAAAGATATTTTAGTCTTAAATAACCTTATTGAAGGATTATAGAAGATTTTTTTTTTTTTGAGATTATAAAAATGCATTGATATCCACTTAATACTTTAATATGGAGATTAGAAAGGAGGTCTTAATGAGACAAGAAAGAAGATGGTAGAAGATTGAATCAAAGTGGTGTTAGAAAAAAAAACAAAAATAAGGAAGTAATTGCCTACTACCACAATCTAAGGTCCAAGTAAGAACAAAGTGAAGTTAAATTGACTTCCTTTTGAAAAAAATAGAAGTAAAAATAAACATAATAATTGAGACCAACTATTGTTGTGAAGTTATAATGTTGGTATCTAACTTGCAAGGATATCATAATTTCGAATGTATAATAATTCCTATAGTAAAGTTATTATAAGATAAAGATTAATATTATTTTCCAATTTTAGAATCTCTTCAATGGTTGTTCCTAGAATCACAGTTTGGCATGGTTATTTAAGGTTACTTAAAACAAGTTTAATGAATGGGATTCCTTTTTGGCATTGTTAGTATTGCATGAAGTCAAGAACTTTTAAATTGGCCTATCCAGATCACTTTATATTTGGACTTAGTATGTTGGAAGTTTAATCAAATAATATGGCCTATCATCCTTATTTTTTGGCTAAACTACTACAAGAAAACATCTAATATTTTTTCTAGATTCCTTTGTTGGTAGTTGTTTTGTTGTAGATATTAACATGCTTAATATTGTATGATATATGGAATTAGAATATTTTTTTTATGCATGAAATCTTTGATTCTTTTATTTATTTTTTAATATTTCTTGACAACCTTGTTTATGCATCATTGATTGAAAAAGCAGTTGTTCTTTGCATATTTTTTTCTTGCATGGATTTCTTTAAATAATTTATTTATTAATTTTTAAATTTTTTGGCTTCACCTCTAGAACAACACTGCTAAAAATTGAGTTAGCTTTTTCATATCAATCTAGATTAGATAAGTTTTTTTTTATAGATTCAAATATAAGGAGGAAAATTACAAAATAAAAAAGATAATATAAATAGAAGTAATTATTAATAAGTTTAGTCTAACAAAGTGTTATAAATACTTGGAATTTTATAACTAACATCAATTGGTTTTAATTAATAACTAAAGAACTTTGTTCTTTTGTATCAAAATAAAACTTAAAAATACATATGTTCACTAATGTTAACCATCAAATTTATTTAGATGCTTCTAATATTGCTTTTCAAATTTGATACCTAAATTTTTCAAAATAGCAAATTTTCTTCTACAAAAGTAAGCATCACAATCTTATTCATAATAGGTCATAAAAATAATTAATATTATAAGAATTATGACTAAAAATCACATCTCTGATTAAAAAAATAAGCCCTTTGAATGCCTTATTTATCTTCATCTTATCTTCTAAGAAAATATCTTTAATTATTAACTTGAATTTGAAAGCAAAAACTCCTTTA